TAACCCAATCTAGAAACTCCCTTACAGGCATACTCAGGATTTTGTCTCCTAGGGGATTCTAGATGCTGTCAAGTTGAAAATCAGCATTAGCCATTATAACAGGCTACCTGGCATGAATTATACTGGCTGCATGGGTGGTGGTGGGGAGGGCTATAGAGACGGTCCCCAATAATGCAGCCATGAGAAAAGTAACACAAAGTAACACAGAGCTCACAAATCTATAAAAGGAAAGAAAGGTAGAGGCTGGCAAGATGGCTTATTGGGAAGTGTGAAAGAAAAGTTCCCCAAAATAACTCCTGCACCTTGGACTGAACTTCCTGCAAGACTGACCAACTGATTATCACTCTGGAGACAGTGGAGAGTTTGGAATGTTGCAGGTCTAGAGTCTAATTACCATTTATCTCTGGCCATCTTTAGCCCCCTAAACATCCACTCCTTACCCACCTCTGTTTCTGATCTAAAATCCTGTGACTATCAGATGAAAACCTTTTAGAATGGGTTAATGTAACAGACCACCTACTGTCACCAATCAAAAGGCTAAGAATGTCATCAGTATCTGAGACCTATAGTAAAAAACCCCTTGCTTTGCTGCAACCCACATACTGAATGTATCCTCCAGTGTATTTGAAAAGTGTCTTGATTTAAGACTTTTCTTTGATCTGTTACTATAAAAATGTAAGGCAGCTGTTACCACGCTGGAACATGGAATTTGGGGTAACCTGAATCTGTGTCCCTGGGCCATGGTCACTCATACTTGGCTCCAGAATAAACTATCTCTTATCCCTTTTGAGGTGAGAGTTAGACAGTTTATGGTGCTCAACATGGGGCCCCAAGAATTACTCACTTTTCATCAGATGAGTCACTTGATTGGAGCAGGTACTGGCATGGATCCATTGAGTCTAGCCATCTGAACGGGTCTCCTCAGATGGATCGTGGTGAGTTCTTTCTGGGGCTCTTGGACCTCCCTTGGTTTTGTCGACGCCCATTTGTTTATTCTGAGCTGGTTGTTTAAGGATCCTATTTATTTGATACCTGTATTGTGTTTGGTTTCCTTTTGAAGTGTTTGTTTTAGGTATCTATTTTGTTTGTTTGCTTTGAAAGTATTTTGGTTTCAACATTCGGTTTGGTTTTTTTTTTTTTTGCTGTTGTTGCTGACCATTTGTTAAAATTTGCTAGCAGTGATTTTTTTTCTTTCTCTTTCCTTTTTTTTTTCTCTGAACACTTTTCCCATATCTAATTCAAGGAATGGAGAAATGTTTTGAGAAAAACAGATATTTTGTATTCTGGCTGGTTTTAGGGTTGATTAGTATGTTCCTTTAACTTACAAATATAAGAAAATGTAAAAATCCAACTTAAGGTAGTCTGCCAATTTTAAGGTACTTATTTGTTTAGATATTTGCTTGTTTGCTTGTGTGCTTTTAAAGTGCTTGCTTTAAAGTATTCATTTTTGCTTGCTTCAGAAGCAATTTGTTTCTGATTGCTTGGCTTGCTTTAATATCCGTGGCTTCTAGAACCTTAAAGGCATTTTGGTTTTTGTTTGTTGTCTGTGGTGGTTCTGTCTGTTTTTGATGTTTTTATTTAGTTGGCCTTTGTCTCCAGACACTCCTCCAATACCTAAATTTGCATTTGTGTTTTTTTCCTGTGATTTCTCCTGACTTTTTGCAACCTTGACGCCTTTAGCTTAGGTATTATTATGCCTGATCATAAAGGCGCAGAAGACAAGAGGCGCTGTTCCTTCCTCTCTTACAGAGTCGAGGTGTCAGGGGAACTCCCAGGATGAGTAACGGCCTCATAAGGGAACCCATAAACATACACCGTTCCTTTATTAGCTTTCCCGGGAAGACACACATAAGGGTTGATCACCCAGTGTCTTGAGCACTCTCATGTTTCTGACAGTGTGCAGGAAACCCCGAGACCCAGTGGGAGAAGACAGTCTCAGTGTGAAAGCTGAGAAAGTCCATCCAAAAAAGCAGCACATAAACAAAATCCAAAACACATACTCCCCAGCTAGCATAGAAAGCCTGCAAGTTTTCAGGAGAAAAGAAACAAATTAGTTAATAAATGGAAAACAAGTTTCCCAAAAAGGAAGTATTTGAAGATAAACTGCCACCTCACACTATAGCTAGCTTTATGTATGATAATTATGAGCTTTCAACTTGCAAGTATTTTGGAAAAATGGGGAAATCTAACCAAAGATAACTTGGCCCCTAAGTGGGGGAGGCCACCCCCCCCCCCCCCCCTGTTTTTTTTTTTTTTTTTTTTTTTTTTTGCATGCTTAACTAAAAGTCCTAGGCAATAACATCTGAAACCATCACCTGGGCAGTCTGCTTTAATTAAAATGTGAGATTATTTTAAAAAAATAAAATTGACAATTTACAAAAATAAGAGCT